TTTTTGTATTTTTAGTAGAGACGGGGTTTCACCATGTTGACCAGGATGGTCTCGATCTCTTGACCTCGTGATCTACCCGCCTCGGCCTCCCAAAGTGCTGGGATTACAGGCGTGAGCCACCGCGCCCGGCATAGAGATTTGATTAGTCTTAAACCCATTTTTAAAGAGCTCCTAGAAAGTAAATTAGTTTTTGTGTTTAGATTCCCCGTAAGTTTGGTTAGGAAGTATGAAAGCTCAATCTTGTAATGACAGCCCATCACTGAGGGGGAGGGGGGAAGCCTATAACATGTTTTTCAAACACTACATTTTACCTAGAGTCCTTGGGTGTAATAGTAGGTAGGGTTAACAATCCCTGCATGAAACACAGATGGCCTGGGGAAGAAACCTTTTTCAGAGATACTAATCAGGAGAGAAGTGTTTCTACAAACTCATAGTAAGGTCAGTGAATTCAGTTTAGAAGCCAGGGCAGCTGGTTGCGTTAGCTTCTTTATGTCATCATTGCCTGAACTTGTTTAAAGATCCAACCTTGTTTTACTTGTGCTGCAGGAAAAAAGGAAGAGTTGTAGGTACAAATTTGGACCAAACTTTAAAAAGGTAGAGTGGGGTATCTTCTGAACCCAACCAAGTGGTGGCTGTGGTGCTTAGCAGTATCAACTGTACGTGAGTTATTGCTGTGTTAGCAAAGCATCCAAAGATTAATGGTGTAAGATAAGTTTTCTGTGAGTCAGGAACTCGGGAGTATCACTTCTGGTTCTGAGTCTGAAGAAGCTTTTCACTTCTGAGCTGGAAGAATGCTCTTTGTGCATCTCCCAGGTAGTGACAGAGTCTTTCCCCAAGGTCTCTAGCACAGTGGCTTTAGGGCAGCTGGACTTAGGTGGTATTTCAGGGTTCCAATAGAACTTGGCAGAGTTGGCTTTTTAGGACTTAATGTCACATAATACCACTTTTACCATACTCTTGGTTGCAATAGTGATAAATCTCAGAGACCTAATCCCAGATTCACGAAAAGAGAAACATAGTCTCCACCCCTTGCTGAGAGGAATGCCAGTCAAATTGTAAGAGGGGCAAGTGGAAATATATTGGTACAGCCAGCATGAAAGTGTACCATAGATCTAAAACATTTTGGGTACACAGTTCAGCCAGCCCTCACTGAGGCAGTTCTGCCAATCAGGATTCAAGTTTTATTTCCTAAGAAATATAATAGGTTTTTTGTGTGGGCATTGATATAAAATATGCTGTGTTCAAGCTATGGAGAGTGCTTGCCATCTGTAGTTTCTAGAATTGCAGTTCAAAGCTATTTCTGAGAGAGAAAGCCACTTCATCCTCTAAATGCAAGTAAGAGACCCACTTAAAGTGAGGTGAATTCTCATTTTAGGTTTTTAAATTATACTAAAAGATTCTAGTAAGGAAATTTTAATGTATGTATTGGGGTTCTTATTACATTAATGAAATGTCTACTGTCAATTCTATAAAGCAGAACCCAGTGGAGTAAGAATATGTAAAATTGATAGTTGAATTATGTTGAGATTCAGGGACAAGATAGCATTGCATAGTAACTTTGTGGGATCAAAAAGTTTCAGAGTAGTTAAAACGCCAGGGAATCTGATATTATGAAATTATGCCTTCTGATAGGTGCAGTGAAATTGAAGAGTAACAGGTTAACCTCCATTGTGTGGAGGTTTTATGAAATGTTTTGACTTTTTTTTTTCTCTAGACAACAGGGTTCTTGCTCTGTTGCCCAGGCTGGAGTGCAGCCTTGAACTCCTGGGCTCAGGTGATCCTCCTGCCTCAGCCTTTCCAGTTAGCTGACACGATTGGGATATGCCACTACTTGTTCCTGTTTTTTCAGATGGGTCCTGCTGTGTTGCTTAGGCTGGTCTTGATTCGTGGCCTCAAGCAACCTTCCTGCCCCAGCCTCCCAAAGTGGCTGGGATTACAGGTAGCCACCTTGTCTGGCCTGTTTGGACCATACTTTTTATTTTATTTTATTTTATTTTATTTTTTAGATAAGGTCTCGCTCTGTTGCCCAGACTGGAGTGCAGTGGCACGATGATAGCTTACTGCAGCCTTGATCTCCCAGGCTCAAGCGATCCTCCCACTTCAGCCTCTTGAATAAATGAGACTGCAAGTGTGAACCACCATGTCTGGCTAATATTTTTTATTTTTAGCAGAGATGAGGTCTTGCTATGTTACCAAGACTGGTCTTGAATGCCTAAGCTCAAGTGAGCCTTCTGCCTTGTCCTCCCAAAGGGCTGGGATTACAGGGCTGAGTCACCACACTTGGCCAACCATATTTTATTTTTTATTTAATTTTGTTTGGTCCTTGTTCTGAAACCATATATTATAAAGTGAGTTTAATATTTTTGGCTGGACACAGTGGCTCACTCCTGTAATTCTAACACTTTAGGAGGCTGAGGTAGGAGGATGCCTTGAACCCAGGAGTTTGAGGCCAGCCCGGACAACATAGACAAAAAAATATAAAAATTAGGGGGTGGGGGTGTGATGACACATGCCTGTAGTCTCAACTATTTGGGAGGCTGAGGCAGGAAGATCGCTTAAGGCTCCAATAAGCCATGTTTACCCCATTGCATTCCAGCCTGGGCAACAGAGTGAAACCCTGTCTCAAAAAGTAACGTTTCTATATGATTTTTGGGATAGAAATGTCCATAACGTTAATGAAGTGCATAGCAGTCACTGCTAAATCAGGAGATAGAAATGTCCATAATGTTAATGAAGTGCATAGCAGTCACTGCTAAATTAGGAGTTTTACATTGGCATAAGAAATTGTATGTCAGGCCATGTGCAATGGCTCACGCCTGAAATCCCAGCACTTTGGGAGGCTGAGGCGGGCGGATCGCTTGAGGTCAGGAGACCAGCCTAGCCAACATGACGAAACCCTGTCTCTACTAAAAATACAAAAATTAGCCAGGTGTGGTGGTGCATGCCTGTAATTCCAGCTACTCAGAAGGCTGAGGCAGGAGAACCTGGGAGGTGGAGGTTGCAGTGGGCCGAGATCGCACCACTATTCTGGCCTGGGCAACAGAGCGAGACTTTGTCTCAGAAATTGTATATCAGTTTGGGCACAGTGGCTCATACCTGTAATCCCAGCACTTTGGGAGGCCCAGGTCGGGAGATCGCTTGAACCCAAGAGTTGGAGAACAGCTTGGGCAACAAAGTGAGACCCCTGTCTCTACAAAAAGTAAATTAGCCAGGCTAGGTGGCACGTGCCTGTAATCTCAGCTACTCAGGAAGCTGAAGGAGGATCACCTGAGCCCAGGAGTTTGAGGCTGCAATGAACTACAATTGCACCCCTGCACTTCAGCCTGGATGACAAAGTGATAACCTGTCTCAAAAAAGAAAAAAAAAAATGTATAATCATATTACAATTTTCATTGCATTACTGATGAGGTAAAATCTCAAAGTAATTGTAAAAAATCCTGGATATTACATGGTTGAGAAACAAATTTTGATTTTACATTTACAGGACTCTGTAGTTCACAGTTGAACACTGTGCCTTCCTGAAATATCAAAGAATAATGTACCTTAATAAGCCTGCTACTATTGGCACCTTGTAAAAATTAAAAAATTAAAGTTCAAACATTATCTGTTGAATCATTTGTCTTTTACAAGCCAGCCCTGACTTCACATTCTCAGAGGTGTTCATAGAAGTGCATGAGATGTTAACCTCACCACTGATAAGTTTATGAATCTCCTGGTTATTAAGGTGTGACCTGACAAGTTTCCTAGAAAGCAACTATTCCAAAGTTTTCATGTGTTTTTTTTTTTTTTTTTTTTTT